CTTCTATGTTTTGACTTTTTTTTCATTGTCCTGCATCACTCATAGATGAAACAGGTTCTTTAACCAAGGATGATCAAATTATCCCAATTCTTTTCCCCTCTGTGTCTGAGTGTGTAAAAATTATAGTAGAGAAATATCTTTTCTATATTAATAAGATTGACTCGATAATATTGTCTCAATCCTTATCACCAGTTTGCTCAATTAGGTACCAACATTGTTAAGAAAGATCCATCTTTCATTTAGGATTAACCCTTTAACTCCCAGATCAAATTTGTCTTTCTCCCTACTGTCAACTATACAATTCTTGTAATGTTAGTTCAGAGAATTTAGCATTGGATCAACTAATTATCCCCAAATCAATATTTTTCTTTATTCTCATCACTTATCTAGTTGATCTTGTATTGATATTGTAAGGAGAAATTCTATCTTGGTCACTCACACACAAGCCTCTAAAAAAAGACCACCATTAAGCATTTGTAAATAAATAGTTTAATAATTGTGGAAATTAACACTTCTATACAATAAAGCAATTTTTACAATCTTATTATTTTACTCATATATAAACTGAAAATCTAACTTAGCCATTTAATATACCAGAATGCTTTAACATGAGTGGGACAGGAGGGGGGCCTCCCTTAGGATTGAGATCTCCCTTACCACCCCATCCCCAAAACTATAAGCTCAAATCTCAATGTTGCCCTTAGCTTTGCTAAATCAGCACAAAAAACCCATTTAAGAAAAACTGAATTTTCAACAATTATTAACACTGTTTAAATGTTATATAGAAGGTAAAAACTTATGATTTCACTGTAATATGAAAAAAAAGAGGTGATTCAGCACTGAAAAAAAGAATATAAAAGAAAGCCAAAAGGTTAATGTAAATTTGTGCTTGTAACAAATCATTTTTCTACTTCTCTGCAATTACTCTGCTATCCTAGCTGTCATAAAACTATAAGATTGAAGTAATTTAAAGAAAAAGATTACGTTATTCACAAATAATAATCCGATGGTTATAACTGGTCTGGTTGCAAAATATTACTACCATTCTGACCCAAAAAAGTAGAATGAACTTAATCATAAATTTAGAGAGATGCATAACAACATACTCTTTCCAGGAAAATAAGGTCTTGCAAGTAAGCAATACACAAAATCATTACAAATGGTATAAATAATATTATATTTAAAGGATAAATTAAATTGAGCAATTACAAACTTGGGAACATTATAATTACAAAGATAAGGTAAGAATGTCAAATAAAATAATCTATTTAGCCACATCTGCTTTCTTTATAAATCTGAAACATGGCATTAAAATGGTATTAATAAATATAATTTTATATTTTATCACGTCGCAAATCTCCTCGTCCATTCCTTGGCAATCCTGTCATGTTCCTCTCTGTCATTGACATATTGTGTTGCAATGCTTCCGACAAGTGGGTCAACTAAAAAAAATAAAATGCATCCAATGCATTATTTTCTATTGTTCTATTTGCATGAAAAAAAATCACATTGATGCACACTTCAAAAGCAGGTAATGCAATTATCCCTCTCTTTTGAGTTGAAAGGGTAACCGACTGCAACTTTTTCTCATTTTTTCTTCAAAAATTAACTTTCATCTACGAGACTTAACTCTCAACTCCCACAATTGATTAACATTAAACTTCTTCCTATAATATTCATACATCATCTAGTGAACAGGTAATAAAAAAACTCAAATTTATCAGGTAGAGATTTTTATCGTGATCTAACATCAAATTCTCTTAAGTTACTTGAAAGGAAATGTGTAACATCTAGAGGAGAGAATTAACAAGGAGATCTTGGGAGTTTAAGGGGAAGGAAACTGTAAAAGAGTCCACCAGATTTGGACTTTGTCTGGGAATTGGAATGTATGGAATTTACGAGAAGAATGATGTAATTGTACATTAATTGCTGAATTGCATGAAAACAACAAGACTGTGGCAGAGATTCAAAAATGATGTACTGTAAACAATCAGGCTTGAGGGTGAATTTTCAGCAAATGATGTTAATATACACTGGGGCTCTAATGAGTATCCAAGTAGCAAGTTGACAAATTACTTCAAATACCTGGATTACAGTCTGTCAGAAGTGAACAGACGGAGAGAAGAACCTTGGAAATAGTCAGAGCTGGGCTCCAGTTATCTTTTAAAATATCCAGACAAATCACTCCCTAAAAAACCATATTTGATAAACAATTTTAAAAAAGAAAAAATACATGTACTTTTATGAAATTTGAAACATACAAAGCCAAATACTAAACTTTTTGTAGTTTTTGAAGGAAATTAGGGAATGAAGAAAACAGAAATTCATTTATCATGTAAACAAGACAAGTAATAAATGTAAGTACATGCATCCTTTAGAACTCAATTTGCTCTTGCTATCTTACCTGGCTGTTTATATTGCAGTGATAAATGCGAGTTCGAAAGGTAACCTGTAACATTTGATAGAAAGAACAATAAGTAACACTCATAGAATAGAAGTGTAAAAAACATCAAAGTTTTTTAAACTGTTCACTAACAAGATCTCATAAGCAATTCTCCATACTTACTTCTATACAATTCTCGTGAAATTAGTCTGGAAAATTTGGTATTGGAGCAACTACTAATCTCCAAATTTATATATTTTCTTTATTCTCAACTCTAAATGTTTGCTTGATATTGAACAGATCCTGTGAGAAGATATTCTGTTTTGGTCACCCATGGGAGTTGAAGGGGTAAATAGATTGGCATTGGGGCAACTAATAATCTCCTGATTTATATTTTTTCTTCATTTTCAACACTAAATCTCTGCTTATATTGTATAGATACTGTAAGGAGAAATTCTGTCTTAGTCACTCATGGGAGTTGAAGAGATATATAAAAATTTCATACCTTCGGTGGTTTAAAAGGATAATCAGATGAAAACTGAATATCTAAGAAAAATACTCCTCCTTCATAAACAGATCCTTGAGGACCAAGAATTGTTGAGTGCCACTCATAAAGATTGTCACCCTTTGGGCCAGCACTAAAATATACAAACAAGAAAAATTTCAAAAAAAATGCTGCATACCATCCATTGCGAAAGGGATTCATGATTCTTAATCACTTGATTTATGTGGATGACAATGTACTCATGTGTGACAGACCTTGGCAGAACATGTTTTAGTTCAAATTTTCTCAGAAATAAATTTTTTCAATAGCTTGACTTAGACAGGTTTCTTGATTGTTTCAGACTATGATACTGGTTATAAAAAAAACAACAAACAAAAAACAGCAATTTGAACCAAAATGGTTAAAAAATTTTAACTGACTGCAACAAACAAAAATTATTTACAAATTCTACAGCCACACAACAATGCTATAATCAGGACTTGTCCCAACAACATCCTTTACTTGATTAACATAATTGGTTGACAAGCATTTGTATACAAAAGATTGAACTAACTACAATTAAAATATTATAATAAAAGGCATCTAATAATCTAAATGGACTCAAAACAAAATCAGCAATTTGGGAAATTGTGTGACAAAAACATGGGAAATTATCAAATATTAGTTTTGTTCAAAACATTAATTGACCTTGTCATTAAAATCAATATTATTTTAGTACTTTGTAAACATTATATTAAAATATCTTATTTCAAGCATAGCTTAAATTCTATCACACCCCAATTAACCCACGTGTTTTACAGGAATTAATTCGTGAGACATTCCTAAGAGTTTAATACCTTGTGAAATCCCGTATGAAGGAATACAAGATTTTAATCAGCTGTTTACGTGGTGTCTGATTAGACATGTCAATTTGAAAACAATCAACACCATTTCTCCTTCGAAATCGTTATTTCCTGACGGAAAATATTCACAGCGATTGCAGCCTAAATCTCCGAAGTGTATTAATTAATATTTTACCTGCAGTTAGGTGGCGGTTCAAGCGTTATTTCGGCCAGTTCTCTTTGAATCCTGTCCAAAATTGGAAACAAAGAACTCAGATTTTCCAACAACAGAAGAATTAAAGTAAGGAGCGCAGTGTTTAGCATTGAAGTCTTTGTTGTTGTAAATTGATGTGGTACTCGAGTAACTTACAACAGGAAACCGACATTAGATCTTTCATCCGCGGAGTAGATAAAACCAAACTCTGGCGATAAGAGTTCCCCTAGTATTTTTATGAATAACCTGATAACTTTAATTTTTCGATTTACTTGCGACCTCTTCTCGTTAGATGAAAACGAATTCTCTCGATCCCCAAAACTAAAGCGATCGTAAGGCCTTCCTTAGTTACATAAAACCTGAATTCCCTCTACTTTGAATTCGCCTCTCGGAATGGAAATATACGTAAAATGATGATGTTTCTACCTCTTTGCAGCCCCACTCAATGTCTTTGGTGGTCTACTTGAGGCGATCTTAATTTCCTTTCGGATTTGCGTTCCACGGTTCCTTTGATCATTTCCTGCTTCTGTTGCCGGGCCGGGTACATTTTGTAAGTTCCTTGTGTCTTGATCGGCCATTTTTAAGGGTCATGCAGCCTGCAAAGAAGAGTAATCGTCTGAGCAAAGGTCTACGAAAGTTACAGAAGAGCCTCTCAAGGAAGAATATTCGGCATTCCCGTCTAAAGGGCGGCATAGACACCCAGTTCAGTCACAGCAGGAGATTACCGAGACAAGAAGGCTGGATTCTTTTCGAATCGTACATTTAAAAAGTACTAGATTTTATCTCTGTTCCCATTCGAAAAGACTACGATATGCCATTATTTTATATGGATTAAAAAACAGAGCTACGGGATAAAGCGTGTTTCTTAACGTTCACTAAACCTGTGTGGACGAACCTTCATCAAGTACATGTATGACTTCACTAAGGTTTTCCTCTTAGTTATAAAAAACCCAAGGAGTGATCCTTTTAAATGAAGTACTTACAAATGTAGTATAGTCTGAAGAAGCTATCAGCTCAAATGCAGGCCAAACACTTCACACAATACGCCAATATATGAGTTTAAAGTTAAGCAGATCGACCAGGTGGTTAGATTGTAGACGAGCCAAGTACCAAGCTATGAGTTTGCGTCTCAACAGTCGAGAGAATGAATGCAATTGAAAACACGATGAGGACAAAAGCAGTTCTTGAGGTGAATATCTTGAGTGCTCAATTCTGTTCTTGTTGTTCCGAGCAAGATCTTCTTAGTGTGTAAAGAACAAGAAGTTAATCTTGATCCCCTGTCGAAAGGCCAATGAAGCAGATCACGCCAGGCGAAATACAGCTGAGATTTCTTGCAGCACCGATTTCATCAAATAACATTAACCAAATTATCAAATGACTTCTTGCTAGAGAGAACCAATGGTTAAACCTTTCAGGAGCCCTAGCAAAGGATAAAAAACCTGAAATAACACGACGATAAATATCTCTAACACAAGTGATATCGAAATAGTGTCTCAAAGAGAACAAAAGACCGTTACTCCCTTGGGAATAAGAACTAATCATGTGAAATACTCAGGGGAATAGGATTGAGGAGAACTGGTAACGAGAGACATAGTTTAAATGAAAAAAAAATTATAATGTCTGACAAAATTTTCAAAATCAGATAGGTCGATGAATTAACAATTGAAAATGATAAACATCTGCAAACATAAGCAAACATGGTCAAATTGAAATTAAAGTGCCATATTTCTCTTTCAAAAAGAAAAGGAATTTATTGAATGGTTAATATACCGGAGATCCGCGGAAAGCCTTTTGGTCGATCCACATATGCATTTTTCTTTAGTTTCGCTCAAAGAATGATGCCCTTTTTACACTGATCATGACTTGCCCTCAGGAGAATGAACAAATTTCAAGTCTGAACCATCTGAGAATAAAGCAAGCCTTTTAACTGACCAGAAAAAAAATTATGCGGCACAAATTCATTTCATTCTCCTCCCTCGTCCCCACATGTAAACTTCCCTAATGGTTAAATGTGCGATACATGCAGAATTTCTCTTAGTCACAACTAGCTGCATGCTCAAAGGTTTTAAACGTGACATTTCAGAAACTGCAATGGATTTTCAACTCATGTTACGTCATCGATATGTCATATTTCTAATTACAATTTTTTACGCCAAGGTTTTCGTTAGGATATTTATTTTTGTATCATTAGTTATGGTAGGAGACATCAATACAATCCTGACGTTCTACGAAATAAGCTCCTTTTAATTCGCTTCACAATATAAAAATAGAGCACTGTTCGATTCATCTAGCACATTAATTTACCAGAACATTCAGTTTTATAGCTTTTATTGCACGCGAAGAAACTGGCACTAGCTATGTCGCAAGAAAATATGGCGGACGTAGAAATGAATACAAGCGATGGTGAAACTTCGCCAGAAAAACAGGAAACAGATGAGCAGATGGACGTAACTGAAGAGCCTGAACTAGACAAGTAAGATCGTAGCTGGATAGAAGGAGCTTTAAAACACAATTTTACCGATACGCTTTTTTGTTTGATGTGTATTTCTCTTGCAGTTTTGCGAAGGCTGATGCTAAAAAGCAAGAAGGAAACAGAGAATATATCCAGAAAAACTATGAAGCGGCCGTTAAATTGTACACAGAAGCAATAGGTATATTACATATTGCTATTGTTTAGTTTCTGTACCAGCAAATACCAAGGGAACTGTTATAACTTTGGTTTATTTGATACAGAACTCTTGCGATTTTTGGCCATGTGATTCTTTCAGAGAAACTAAAAGTTCTTCTTGCTTGTGGGAGGAAATTATCATTTCACACAAAATTCTTACTCGGATAGAGTTTTGTTTCAATCCCTGTTTTGTTGATTGCAATAGAGTTAACATACCACGACGTTTAATTGTTGTTAATTCGAACCTTTACAATTTGCCGGCTCTTTGAGCAGGAAGTGGCCGAAACTTTAGTCTGGCTTCTTTTTAAATATCTTTGTCATTTTATTTCGTTTTATTAGTATTTTGTTACATTCATCACAGTAGTTCGAAGGCTCTACCTTAAGCTTTTTTACGAAATTCTCTGTTAAGTGATGTATTTCTTCCTCAAAAACATCTATAAAATTGCAACGCGGCCCGTTTAGCAAGGTTGTTTAAGGGTTACATAAAAATTGTATAAGTAATTTGGTTTAATCAACTAAGTTGATAGTGTAAATTGGCAACTGTTAAGAGTTTCTAAAGCTGATTTTTTTGAGTGTTAGCCCTTTGTCATTCACTTTGATGTAGGACTAATACTTGAAATTTCTGCCTAAGAAACACTTTACGATGACCAATTTAAACCATCAACTCAGTTGATAAAACCAAATTACCTTGTTAACTTCTACTTATGCAGCACCACGATTTCTTTGGAAACCTATACCCTGTACAAGTATCATGCTAAGTGATGCATTGTGAGATACATGATTTTGAAAATTGAATAAGAGGGATGGTAACTTTTGAGCTTGGTAAAAAAGTAGAGAAAGACACTTTTTGTCTTGTCTTGAGCATGGGAGTCCTCATTACGAATTAAACCTCAGATCTCCAGATTTTGCACTTCGATGCTCTACCACTGAGCTACAGAGATTCTTTGGTGAGCAAGGCGCATGATGTACTTATAGAGCAACCAAAATGTAAAAATAGTAGTCGTTGTTGTACTAAAGAAATTTAGAAGTGACACTCTAGATGTACAGCAGATAAGCAGTTACACTGTATTCCACTGAGTTTGTCATTACTAACAATTATTCTAGGTTGTAATAAAATTCTCATTTTCATTTATTTTAGAGCTAGCTCCCACAGTAGTTACATATTATGGGAATCGTTCAGCGGCATACATGATGATCGGGAATTATGACAAGGCTTTAGAAGATGCTCAGACTGCCATTAAAACTGATGAGAATTTTATGAAGGTTGGTCAAGATCCTCAAAATATCTTTTTGATATCCTAATAATCAGCTGTTTGTTTTAACAATTTATATCCTGGCAAGTCTTAACACTCCACCCAAAAGTAACTCTTCAACAAAGTTTAAATATCATGCTATCAACTTGGGAAATTGAACTGTCACTTGGTAGGATCACATGACAATGCCATGCAGCTATTTCTCTGACATATATTTTTTAATAAAAAATTAGCAATGACAATGAACAATGTTTTGGCCTCTCCAAGGTCATTATAAACTTGAAAATGACCTTGCAGAGGTTGAAACATTATTCCTGTTTGTTGTTAATTTTTATGAATGATGCTTTAGATTGAGATACAACATAAATATTTGGGATTTTGATTATACCAGGTTATTAGTTTTTTTCTTCCCTTACTGAGGGGGGAAGTTTTGGAAAGATCTTTTCTGGTAGATGACAGAAATTGCAATACTGCATTTTCATTTTCATAACATACTGTTTAATTCAGCCAAGTATTTAGAAGAATTACAGCATTTCCATTTTAAATAATCAAAGAGAAATCTGTGTATTGTTTCTGGTTTTTGGCATATGCACAATGACTAGACAAAATGGGTGCAAAATCTAATGGGAAACTTAACCTTTTAACTCCCAAGATCTGATTATTAATTCTCCCCTGTAGCTGCTACACATTTCCTTGTAAATTAGTTATGAGAACTTGGTGCTAGATCAAGATAGCAGGTTCTACCCGATAAGTTTGAATATTCTCATTACCTGTTTGCTGAAGAATGTATGGATGTTGTAGGGAGAAGTTTTATGTCAATCACTTCTGGGAGGTAAAGGGTTAAATTGTAGAATTTGATTTATGGGTGAAAGAACATGTACTTGTTAAGTTTACAATTCAGTTTACTTACAAGCTAGATATAAAGCTGGTCTGAACTTTTTAATTCTTGGCTAAAGGCTGGTTAAAAGGGATATTGATAGGTGAAATTTTGTAGTGGATGTCAAAAATGTTTCCCTATTTGAAACAAAAAATTTTTGTATTCATATACTATAGAAAATATTAATAGTAGTCAGTTGGGAGAATTATCATAAGTTTCAGATTTTGTGAGGAACTTTGTAAATTTTCTTGTTTTAAAGGGTTATTTCAGGGCTGCTAAATGTCACCTTGTCATGGGATCCATTGGGAATGCAATAAACTATTTGCAGAAGGTTCTTGAGAAGGATCCTAAAAACAAAGATGCACAAGATGATGTAAGTTAATTTTTTGTAGAATGTACTGTAAGGTGTTATGATCATGAACCCTGTGGAATTTGACAGAAAAGACTATACCGTAAGCTTAAGGTGTACAAATGATAGTCTCCATTCCATTTGGTACTAAAATATGCTTGGTTATTTGTTCACGGACATAATCTGCTCCAAGAAGCGGACAGTTTTCCCAAGAGCAAAGCTTGTGGCAATCTGTGAGCTTAGTGGTTAGGTATCAGATGTCCAAGATTTTGGTACTCCTACCCAGTACATCAAATTAACTTGTAAGATATCACAAGGAAGATTTTAAGCCTTAATTTAACCCTTTAATTCCCAACATCTCATTAGTAATTCTCCTTTCGTTCTGCCAAATGATTCTCATTATGTTAGTTTTGGAGAATTGGTATCAGATCAATTAGTAAGTACCATAACTGATATTTATCTTTATTCTCATCACTTGTCTGCATTATATTGTATAGAGAAATTCTGTCTTGGTCACTCACAGGGGTTAAAGGCTTAACCCTATAAATCCCATGAGTGACAAAGACAAAATTTCTCCTTACAATATCAATACAATATAAACCAGATAAGTGATGAGAAAAAAGAAAAATATTAGTTAGTGGATTATTAGTTGATCCAATATCAAATTCTCCAAACTAAAATCATGAGAATTGTATGGCAGACAGTAAGGAGAATTGCTAATGAGATCTTGGGAGTTAAAGGGTTGAGTAAAACGCAGTCAGTGAGACATATTCTTGAGTTTTATTTTTCCACTGAAATTTTTATTTAATATCCAGCTGCGCACAGCAACAAGGGCTCAAGATTATGAGTCATCTGCATTTAAAGCTCATGATGAGGAAGATTACAGAAAGGTATGGTTCTGTCATGTCAGTGTGCGAGCCCTTGTTATTTTACCATATGTTAATAATTTCTGGGAATTAAAGGTTTTCATACCTTGAATTCATCTGTAAGACGTGTTGATCTCACTTAAGCATTTAGAGCATTGAGATGTTATTATCAGTATATCATTCAGGGTTGGTCTCATATTGTGATGTTTTCATGCACAACAGGTTATCTATTACTTGAATCATATCCTTGAAAGTTGTCCTGCTTGTGCACTTTACAAAGTAATGAGAGCAGAAGCTTATTGCCTGATGGGGAAATACAGTGATGCATTAAGAGATGTGCAGTAAGTACAACTTTAAGTGTGCAACTGATGGTAAATTTATAAGTGACAGATTTTTATTGTGTACATGATCAAGCCTTTAACTTATTTCCATTTTTTTTATAAATTGATTCCACGTTTCCTTGGGTCTGTTCAGTACCAGATCACAGATGACGTCAAAATGTGGTCACAACAAAAAAAGTGCACATCAGGTGCAGCCAAGTGTGTCAGTGATGTTCCCACCACATTTCTGTGTTGTCATGATCTTTTACCAAAGAAGCAAAAATTGTCTATGATAATGCCATCTATGCGTCTGTCCTCCAATAGAAAATAACCAGTCAAAATGCACTTGTCATTCAGCTTATTATATAAATTTAATTCATCCACAGGAATATCTTAATAGATGACTCACTAAATTCTGATGCACTTTATGTAAAAGGGCTCTGTTTATACTATCAGGTATGGTATTCTCTTTACTCCTTCCACTCCTAAGATTTAAATATAGATTCTTTGCCCTCTGTGCTATACATTTCTTATAGATTAAGCACTGAGAATTGGATTTTAAATCAAACAGCTTTCCCTAAGGTGTATTAATTTTTTCTTTTTTCTCATCACTATTCCACTTGATTATGTATTGATATTGTAATGAGAAATTCCTTTTTTTGTCACTCTTTTTTCTTTGGAAATGTAAAGGAACCTCTGAAATAGAATTTGGAAAGGGGGGAAGTAAGAAAAGAGAAGAAATGGTTGTCAGTTTTATTTATCTCTTCTGCTTTTGATTTCAGGACTATGTTGACAAAGCGTTCCAACATTTTAGTCAAGTTTTAAGGAGAGATCCAGACCATAAGAAAGCAAGACTGGCATTAAAGGTTCAATAATGTTTATTTTACCTTGTATAGAGCAGTTTTCAATTGACAGTCGAACAAACACCAAAGTAACTGTGACAGCCATTCAGAACAAAGGAAGAGGCAATGAGAGCTCAAAGTAAAAACAAGCGCTTCACCAAAAGCGCGGGTGACCAAGTCGTGATTGGTGTTAGTTTTGCTTGTGATTGGCTCAGAGAGTGGCACGAGTTTTCTGGACCAATCAAAGAGCGAAGTAAAGCGAAACCCATGCAATTCCGGATTACTTTTGACACTTTCAAAATTTTCTCTTACTAGGTCTAATAAGCCTATTCCACTTGCCTAGTCCCATTTCTTTTTAAGGAATAATCAGTCTGTTTTTCTGTTCTGTAGAAAGCGAAACATTTACAATCCAAGAAGAATGAGGGAAACGAGGCTTTCACCCGTGGGAAGTATCAACTGGCGTATGACACGTACACTGAAGCATTGACAATTGACCCGCGCAATAAATCAACAAATGCTAAGCTGTGTTACAACAGAGCGCTGGTCTGCTCCAAGGTGAGTCTTCTCTGAGTTAGAGGCCGCATGCTCGGGTCCATGCCGGGCTGACTGGTGGTCAAATCTCATAGGGCATGCGTAAATGGATCGACTTTGGCAGGCTGCGCGCCAATTTCCCACACAAAATGATATAGGAAAACGTAATATACAACCGCTGTCACGTAATTATGGGACAAATTTTAAATTTTCATAGAAATCTGTAACATAAAACAACAACAACAGTCATATCTTTTAAAAGTTGTTGTTTTGAAATTAAATAAACGGTTCATCTGTAGTCGCGATATATACTCATTATCACTTGAAGATCGCAACGTACCGACTGCAATACTGCTAGTCTGAGGCTGGGAGGATATCGCTTGACAAGGAAAAGCAGCTTACAATACGGGATGGAGAAATTACTGCATTACGCGCGTGCAATGTGCGTGGATAGTGCGTGGAGAGGGGGTAATGCGCGTAAACTGCGTGCACATTCCACGCGAGTAATACTGCAATCCTTCCCGCCAGTACTGTGTGCATTCTCTCTGACGAAGGGCTAACGCTCAAAATGTCAGCTTTGATGATATGTAATAAAGCAAAGAATAGCATCGCTAACTGCAATTGGTCAAAGTTCCCTGCCAATAACAATCAAACTATTTGCTTATTATACAGTTAAACCAAACAGAGAAGGCTATTGAGGACTGCAGTCAAGCTGTAGAACTGGATTCGACTTACCTAAAGGCTTACATCAAGAGAGCAAGATGGTTAGTTTCATTAAAAACTCAGCGCCTCCTTATTTGCCCTTATTCTCATAGAGACGAGCGTGGCTGCGCGCTTCTTGGTGCCTCTACGCTTGCGCGTAACAACGCCCTCGCGTGGGCTGATTCAAATTATTGTTGCCATTTATTTGTGCACTTGTCACGGGAGATAATTTCCCTACAACTTTTTTTTATCTCTGTTATCAAGAAGTGATCCTGCAATAGCTCAAACTCGACGAAAAGAATGCGCCCGGGGTTTCTCTCGGATCTTTCAAACTCCAAGCATCAGTTACGGCTGTTGATCTCGAGGGGAACACCCACTATTTGTCGCCTCAGGGTCGAAAGATTTGGGGGGGGGGGG